GGGTTCCGGCAGACTGGCAGGGCTTGAAAGGATTCCTTGGGCAGGATGTGCTGTTTGGGAAGCAGGGTGCTCGGCTCAATTTCTCGGCGTTGAGTAGTTATCTTGAAAGCTTGCACAATGATAGCACGTAGCAATGTATTTAAGTATCGGCTGCGTTTGTTGTATTATCTCTGCTTCGAGTGTAAGGTAGGGGTCGCCAGGAACGGGCACCCTTACATAAGCGCTGTCACGTGATCGTGGGAGGCCAGTGGACAGGCAGGGTGTTGCCAAATATAGAGCTTATACGCATCAGCGCTCCCGCGTGGTAAATCACGTGACTGAAGGCGCTTGCGCAAAATTCGACCTCTCGTTAACACAAAATCTTGCCAATTTGGCCAGTTTGGCTGAAAAATGTGTTTTCTGCTGAGACCACTTTTCCCCTAATAACTCGATAACAATGCCATTTACAAAGGTTCTGCTGAATAGGAATTGTAGCCAGAGCCTCTTCTGACATTTCCTACTGAGCAGTTTTACCAAAGGAGGGGTGCGTCCGTCGCCATTAAGGCCATCGTTGTCGGCTGGCGTCTGCTTACATAAGGGGTGCCCGTTTCTGGCGACCTCTACCTTACCGCATGGCGCAGATTGACAACAACAGTAAGTGAGATATAGCGAGAGACAGAATCATTCTCTCTCGCAGATAAACAAAGTAAGCCCGAGACGGGTACATCTGGTTTGAATTGACTGTATCGTGAGCAGACACCGTACAGTGATGTAATGTGGACATTCGCTGACTGGTCCACCCAATCCACCACAGTAGCGAAAGTTGCGGCGCGGGCACAACAGCAGCGAAAGATGATCAATACACTCGACGAACCCGCGCAGGGCAAGAACCATGCACGACCACAGCCGAGACTGAAGCGACACATACGCAGCTGACCAGAGTTTCGTCTCCTCCGCAACTCGCTCAACTTCCCACTAACAGCGCCCCCACAAACTCACTGTTGTTCTCATTACAGTTTTTCCAAATACGACTGACCCCCACTTCTCCTCACCCTTGCCAGCAGCGTCCGGCCTGGTCGTCCGCGGTATTGTGTTGACCGTGACCAGAGGGAACAGCGGCCGCTTTCGTCTGCGCGTAGTGTTTGCCTTCCGTGCGGCGATCGGCAATGCTGCCAGAGCCCTCAGTCGTTTCCAGCATGCTCCGGTTGCACTGACTAGAGCTCTCGGCGTCTTCCTCGCCTTCCTCCACGTCATCAGGCAGGGACGAAAACTTGATGCTGCCGTGGCCAGAGTACAAGAGCGAGGGATCGTGTTCACTGACGCACGAGATGAATTAGTTCCTCTTTTGTGTAAAAAGAGGTCCAAAAATATGGCACATATTTTTTGTAAAAAGAGCTGAGCAGTTATTCTGGGGAAAAGTGGTGCTATTTGCAGCATGAAAAGGCATGCTATTTTTACAACTTTTTGAGCATAAAAATAGTCCAAATATTCCCCATGTAAATAGGCCATTTAATCTTGTATATATTTTCTTGCAAAAGAGGTAGCTATTTTCAGCTTAAATAGTGATCGCCCGCTCATACTATGCAGTCATACCATGAGCGGGCGATCACAGCGGGCGATCACTATTTTGTCCGAAAATAGGCACAAGAATAGATACCCTACTTTTCTTGGAAATATTTGAACTCCTCCCACACTCAAAAAAAAGTCAAATAGTACACCTTTTCGTGCTGCAAATAGCACTGCTTCTTCCCAGGAGAAGTGTTCAGCTCTTTTTGTGAAAAATATTGTATATATTTTTGGACCTCTTTTTGCACAAAAGAGAAACTAATTTGTCTCGTGACCGCGCCATCTTGTCTGACCAGTCGTCCACATCTTGTGCGATCCTGACGATGCTCCGTGGGTGCACCAGAGTCTGGGTCCCCACTACACAGAGCCGCGATGCACCGTTGGATGGTTCGGTGAAAGGGTGTCAGTGGTATGTGAAAGTCAGCTCAGAAAGCTGCCATCTCCTTGTTAACTTGGTGCCGATAGCGATCAAAATCGAGGGGGGTAGTAGTATGGAGGGCATGGGCCGAGGGGCAGAGGAGACGGAATGTGATAACGTTGCTGACACGGCGGTAGATTCAAGCGTGGGATTGATCCCAAGGAGGACCGTGCCGTGGCGGATACTGCAAATGCGCGCAGATTTGTGGCTCTTCTTCAACTTCATGTCACCTGACTACGACAAAGGGCACCTAGAGAAGATGGCCGTCAGCACCGATAACTAACAGCGAACATACTACGTACCTTGGTTAAATAGTTGTGGTAGATGTCGCTGCCTCTGCCGGCTCGGTGTTCGCCCGCACCACGCGTAGGCTCTCTGTCTCGCTGTTCGCCATCCATGTGGCCAGCACGAAGTGCTCCGCCTCGTCTTGCTCCGCGTGGGCCTCTTGTCCGGCGAGTATAGCAGAGCGATCGCAGGTGGGGCGCCAAAGTGGACAAGGTCAGCGCCGAGCTCAGGCGCACAGCATCAAAAAAAAAACACCACTAACGGTGCCCTAGAGTCGCGGATCGCCTTTGCAAACTTCTCGCGCTCCTCTTGACCGCCAACGCAAGCGTAAAGGACCTGGCGGAGGATAGGAACCTTGGGGCGTAGGTGTTCGCTCAGCTCATTCAACGTCCTAGGTGCACCAAACAAGACTTTGGATCTGGCCAGCACGATGTGGTTCTTGCACGCCTTCTCTGGCAATTTCTTAGTGATACCAACATTCAAAATGTGTCTCAAAGGCCTGGAGACCTTCACATGAAGCCTGAGGGACCGCGGGAGAATTTATCGCTGCTTGTGCAGGCAGATAAGCGATTCCTTGCTCGGCAGCTGCGACAGCGCCTGCCTTTTGTCTGGACTTCGGGGCGACGAGTGGCTTGCTGATAGGCTGCTCTCGTTGCTGCTGCTGTTGTTGCCAGCCTTCGGTTATCTCTTCTCTGAAGAGCCAAACAAAATATTCCAAAGACAATAGGAACTGGCATCCTGGCTGCGTAGGTTGCTCGACATGGAGGAGGGTGCTACGCCCAAGGAATGTGCAATCCGGAGCGATGAGTTGAAATGGAAGACCAAGATATTTCATTGGATAGTCTGCAAGGCGGGAGTTTGGGTATGGGCGTGCGACGGCGCGTTAAGTGGCTCTGTGCCTATGAAGATTTATGAGCGATGAAGAGGTCAATCAATGGCTGGACTCACTCTTAGACGAAAGTGTATGCGCAACGAGCAGACCGTCGTACCAGGGACCCTCCTGATCAGTGCAACTAATGCGGCTTTCGGATGATAGGATGTATCGGAAACGTCTCTGCAACGTGGTAAGGGGCCGGCTTAGAAGGATGGGTTGGCATCTTGGACTGCCATGAATGACACAAAATTAGAGTTTTCATATAGCAGTGCGTTGTAGGACATTGGCAGGGAGGAGATGAAGAGGCATACAGCGACAGATATGGGAGACGAGAGGGAGATATTGATTGGGGAGTCGGGCAAAGGCCGCACTTCATCTCGTATCATCGAGGGTAAGACATATAGAGCAAGAATGTAGCGGTGGTGGGACGGGGAGCGGGCCAGGTGTCGCTGTGTGGGAGGTCGACGAATTTTCGGCGTGATTCAAGTTTGTCCACAGTGCCCGGTGAATCCGACAGGGGAAGATGTCGGGAAGTACTATCAGGGGACAATGAGCGGCTTCGCTAACAAAAGAGAAGCAACATGGCTCACATCACGCACAGGTCCTGGGCCGTTGACATCGATTGCATTCGCCCGTGTTCATATGGCTCTACATCGACTTTGTGCCACTTTGCGTTCGTTCGTCGTCGCAGAGTTGGTCCCTATCAAAAAGTTAGCAGACCGTCTCTGGTGGTTTGGCACCTTGAGAAGGCGGCGCACCATGCAACCTGGCTGACTGTGCCTATACAGAGCCCTCCAGCTCTTTCCTACTCGGTCTCCTAGCTAGTCTCTTATGAGCATCTGTGGGTTCGTGCGCAATGGACCAGGCGAAGAGCCGCATTGGAAAGCAGCGTATACCGAAATTGTGGTCCAGATGAATATCGATGGCGGGCGCAAGAGGGAAGATGAGAGCCTTGGTGCACGTGCGATCCCATCCTGCAAGTGCAACGAATCAGCATGATGGGCCGTCACAGGTCTGGACCATCATGCGTGCTCGCTGCTGGAATTGGGAAGCATCATCCCCTGAGGCCAGCTCGTCTTGCCTTACTGTAACAACGACAAGGCCGTCTGCACCAACCATCACTACTAGTTTCGAGTACAGCGGGGCTGGGTGCTTGCTCTGCTTGGTCGTCGCAAGAAATGGACTCCGCTCTTATCTTATCTATACATTTTGCTGCTTAATCTGCTCTGGCCATCTAATCTATATTGCTGAGCCTTATCTAATCTTTGTCTTCCTGTCCACTGCGTCGCCTTGAGCTTGTCACCTCATCCAACCAGTACTGTACGTATGTGAAGAGCTGGTTGCAGATAACTCAAGCTTAAAGTATTGCCTCTTTGTGCCTTTGTGGTCTTCTCATGGTCTCGAATTTCATCGTGCTGTGAGCACCTGTTGAGTAATATTACAGAGGCGGATTGTCGCAGGAATAGACAAATCTGTCGCGCCACTTGTTGCGATACCGAACAAAAAACATTCAAAGAGAGGGTTGGATCAAGTGTGAAACATGGCACATGAGCAGCCGCGGCAGCGCGGCCTCGAGCTTGTCATCTCCTCTCGGCGCCGTGGTGGTGGCGGCAGGCTGCATGCCACTACAACATCTTCGGACGTGCTCAGCATATTCTGGCTGCTCGCGCTCGTCAGAGACCTCGGTATCCTTCTCGATCTTCCTCCAGGTTGTCTAGCAAGGACTGATCAGAGATTGTGCAACCTTGGTGAAGCTCTGCAAGTCGAAAGAGGCTTAACATTCACTGCAGGGAAATGCAGTCGACCGTTGAACAGGTCACTAAGGGTATAGAGGGTGGCATTGGTCGAAAGTACAGAAGCGTAGACTTAACGGCAAAGAGTATGGGGTATGATTCGCCGCTGTTGCTGTTGCTACAAGCTGGGATGTGGGGTCCATCACAGAAAAGAGAGAGCAACAGATAGACTGAATGAAAGAGTCCCGGACCCCCTTGCAGACCCTTTGGCGGACCCTTAGACACTTGGTCGACGCACGGACCTTTAGATGCCAGAATTCGACGGGGTTCGGGGGTATTGGATGGCACGCGCCACCCGACTCGGTAGCCCGCCACTCGCCGCTTGCACGTATGCCGCTGCCGCTGCCCGTAACATATCTTCCCAATGCCATGTCATTTCTTCAAGTTGCCCGAGCCATCTCTGGCAACCCCCTTGTTGATATTCAATTCCATCATGTAGAGCTGCTTTTTGGGCATATTGGCAGCAGCGTCCATGATGTGGTAGTGTATGGGATAAGAGGATATGATTTGAGTAGAGCCACAGTAGATTTTTTAGCTACATAACAAGGATACGTACGAGTGGCGTATATATTATCAAACTGCCTTTGGCCATTGGTGAGCCTCTGTATGTCCCTTACAGACAGTGGCGGCCTAAACAATCGTCAGCCTGTGTGAGTCTAGAAACAAATCAAGGGGCTGTAGGCTCACCAGACTACTGCGCCAGCCAACATCCGATACTCAACCTTGCACAGAGCCCACGATACTGATGCGACACCAGATATAAAAGCATAGTAGGGCAAAAATACAATGAATTTAGGTCTACATAGAAACATACAACCATGAGGCTATGTTAGCCGTTGTCATCGTCTTGACCATAACCTTGTCCACTGCCACCCTTCTTCCAGGGCCACCGAGGCCATGCACGACGAAGCTAGACAAGGTGCCCGCAGTGAACCCAGAGATGCTCGTCGAGCTCGCGGAGCTTTAAGCGCTAGAGGGGTCCGGGGTCAGGTCCAGGACCCTTGCGTTCAGTTGATTCAGTATTCTGAGAAAAGATGACACCGTGACAAGTATCACAGGCTGAGTTAACTTGCGGCTCTGCTTCGATCTCATATCGCTCGACCTGAGAAAGGTAGTCGTCAGCGCTGATAATCAGTAGCAGACATGTGACATACATCTAGCAGAATAGCCATGCTTTGCGAGCACTCCTTGGCGAGTACAACAGGCCCTACCGTGCATATCTGCAGCGCGCCAGCGAGGCAGATGAGGCCAGCGTCGGTGATTGACAGCAGGCATGTCGCGCACCTTGGTAGAACAGCTCTGGTAGCTGCCGCCTCTGCTGGCCAAGCGTCTGTCGACTTCTCTGGCAAGCACGGTGGACCCTACAGCGTATGTCGGAAGTGGCTCGCCGAGGCAGGCAAGGCCAGCATCAACTTCAGGTGCATGACGTCGAGCTTCGCCAGCTGTGATGCCTCGGCATTGTAGATAGTGATGTGCTGGCCGGGCCTCAAAGCCTCCAAGCCCGCCAAGCCCGGCCCAAAAAGCCTGGCCCAAGTCAAGCCTGGCAGCGGGCTCAAGGCCGGGCTCGGAGCGTAGTCAAGCCCAAGCCTGGCCCGAAAGCCCAGGCTTGGGTGTGCTGGCTCCGTTACTGTTCCCTGAGTTCAGAATAAGGAGAGAGTGACCTAATATGCACATAGAAGACAAAATGTAGATATTCTAGATGTAACGACTCTCGCCGAGCACGATTGTGCGTCACCATCTGGTGCCTGCCGTAGGTGCACGCTCGTGGACTTTGCTGCGACTCGACTTGTTCTGCAGGTGTGGATCTTCTGGAGGTTATAATTTAGTCAGTACATGCAGTATTAATCTACTACACCCAAATACATTCCCTTTTGATAGCACCGGAACACTCGTTGTATTGTGAGCAAGCCCGGGCTTAAGCCCAAGGCTTAGGCTGGGCTTGGGCTTGGCTCGGGCTCAGGGCTTGGCTCGACGTCGCCACAAGCCCAAGCCCAGGCTTTGAGCCCAAGCCGGGCCCGCACATCACTAATTGTAGATCGCGGTCGCCCACTCGCTGCGCTCCTCCTAGCTGCAGACAGCAGCGCAGAAGCCTAGGCGGAGGCTGAGAACCTCAAAGTGCTGGCATTCGCTCGGCTCAATCGGCATCCCCGGGAGAACAGAACACGCCCTCGACCTTGGCCAGCTCGAGGGCGACCTTCCGGCGACACCGACGCCTGATATGTGCCCTTTCTCAGCTGCGAAAGCGTTGAGAGTGCTCGAGTTTTGTAGCCCGCAGAATCGGCAGTGAGCCTGTACGCCCCAGTGCTGCTTGTGTAACCAGGTTTGCACCCTTCTTGCTCTGCGGCTGTGACAGTTCCGGCTGTCCATTTGGGCTCTGGATGCATGGCAGCAATTGGCTCCCGGTGCTGCTACCGTTCTGGGTCGCAACCTTGTCTATTCTAGAGAG